TCATTCAAATCAGCTATGTTTTTTAACCATTTCTCCCAGATTTAGATTTCCAGTGGAAATGAACTGCTGTGAGCTGATGTTATTTGCATGCCCCAACAAGCATGCAAATAACATTTTGTATTTTGTATTTTGTTCTGCTCTAGCTACATAAAAAAAAAAAATATTTCCTTGCTGGTAAGTGGATACAGAGTCGTGCAGTGCTCAGGCTATCAATGACATAACCAGGATGATTTTTATAGTATATTTCTCCATTAGTGTTTTCTGCGCCATTATAATAGCAACTCTAAACTTATTCCAGTATTATTGGAAGAAAGAGAGTGAGCCTGATGTACAACTTGCAGAGGGGACAAACTTAGACTCTGCATACATGATCTCCCAAGCCAGAAGCCTCCTCCCATTGCAGCTTCTGACTGTTCTTCCCTTTTGTAATAAATGAAACAACAGAAACAAATTATATCTTTAATTCAGTGACATTCCCAAGTGCCATTTTAGCCAATGAATAAAGAAATCAAAGACAACCTTTTGTGATGCTCCAGAAGTAGTCCTTCTAGAGACAGGGGTTGGGAGGTGCGGGGGAGAGGGAAGAACGCTTCTTGTTGAACTGTTTTAATCAAAAGGCCAGTAAAGGAAACACACTTCTCACCAAAGGAGATGACCCAAGAAGCTTTGCACATGTATGTGAAATCCTAGCTATCTTCTTCTCAGCTTTCCAAAGTGCTAAGAAAGATAAACACAATCTTAGGAAGTAATTTAAAGACAAAACTGTAAATCCAGAATTAAAAAAAAAATGTTTCCTTGATCACTGGATTTTGTGGAAAAGCTTCTTGAGATTTTTCTTGGATGAGGGGCTGTATCCTAGTGACACAGGGAACTTTTACCAAATTAGAGTTGATTTCATCAAATTCAACATCAGCACGATGGGATAGGCTTTCACTGTGTCCCCTGTATACCATGAGCATGAAGAGCGGGAAGCGGGTTTTTGTTTTTACCTCTTAATTCATCAAATAACTGAATTTTTGCAGACATGAGAAGAACATTAGCCAAGCATAGAGAATATAGATATGTCCAGGAGAAAGGGGAAGAGAGGATATTTCCATTATATCTCTGTCAAGTTAACAGTCTTAAGTAGTGCTGTTTCAAGCAAATGTAATGATAGTCAATAGGTAATATGATTTGAATTGCTATTAAACCACATTAAAACAAATTAAAAGCTATTAGGTAAAACTGATTAATTTTTACCTAAGCCAGTTTATCTAAAATTTATCATTTCAATAAACAAACTAAAATTAGGAGCAAATTTGCTTTTTTATGTATGGGGTGCCATGTGTTTGAAATCTGGAGTGTTTTCACACCCACTCTTCAGATCAGCCTTATTTCAAGTACCCAAGAACCTCACATCGTTCTATAATCTCTGCATTTTCTTCATAGAATTTATTGATGTCTGGAATTATCTTCAAAATAGATTTATTTGTCATCATTATAATTGTGTACAGGCATTATGTGTGCCACAACATTTGTGTGGAGGTCAGAGGACAACTTTGTGGAGTTGGTGCTTTCCTTCATTGATAGAACTCAGGTCTCCAGGTTTTCACAGCACATCTTTACCTATGGGTCCATCTCACTAGACCATGAAAGCTCTCTCTATGTTTGCTCACCTTCCTATTAACTACCATTGTTCCTGATGAAGAAGCTCCACCAAAACTAGATTTCTGCTTTTTCCTCCATAGTACAGTGAACTACTCAATACTTGGCAGAACACAGATGAATGAATGAGTGAATGAATCTTTAACTCAGGATTTTACAAATGTAACTACTATCTTGATGCAAAAACTAGTAGAAAATAAAAATTCCAGATTCTTTGAATTTGAAAGGATTGCCCAGGAAGTGAGAGGCAGCCAGCCAGCCCTGGCCTCATCCACTGATACTGAATTATCAACTATCTCAAATTTAGCAGCTGAGCTTGAGAAGAGTCTGGAAAATTACTATCCACAAGAGGTTTGTTGTTGCTACCAGTTAACATGTACCACAAATAAAGTATGCGTTCACATCTCTTAAAGCCGTCTACCACATGCGGTTATCCCTGCCCTTGAGAAGAATCCAAGGCCAGTTGGCACGATACGGTGCTCTGATATTGGGAAGGTTGGCAGCACTGGGTATTGGGGGAAAATGGATGTCAAAGTCAGACAGTCCAGAGTTTCTACTCCAAACTGTGCGGACTTGGAAAATGAAGTAAATGCTTCTAACCCTCATTTTCCTTCTCTGTAAAACTTCACAGGATAATTCATACCTTCAGTGTTTCTGTGATAATCAGTTGAGGCACTGCTGTGCGGAAGTATTTACTATGCTGTGCTGTTGAGGTTCTGCGACTGGTATCAATATTACCATCTTTGCATGCAAGCACTCTAAAGAACACGCTGGTCATCCGTCTTTCCTACCTTGTGCGTACACAATTTCCTTCTCCTTAAAGTTTGATATTTTCTTCTACTTGCACTTGAAAGGCCAGGGAAATGAAGGAGGCTCTAAGTTGAGTTGAAATTTTAACTTGTACTAAGCAACGAAAGACAGTGATGGAGCCATTTATCTCTGCAGAGACAGTTTGTAGTGCATTTGGAGACAGGTTTGGGGGACTTCTCTGGTTTCATACTCAATTGCTTGTAGCTATAGACAGAGATGGCTACTTTGTATTCAGAATTATAGGCCAAAAGGGTACAGAGAGAAAGGCTGAGAATCCATGCCAATCTGGAAGTATTTTATTTGTTGCCAATACACAGAGTTCTGCTTGATATAGCACAGCTGAGAGAGTAAACTTGCCCCTGAATCCTGAATCTCTCTCTCTCATCTTAGAGACTAATGAGCCAGTTTCTCCCGGTAATGTAAGCTGGTACATTCTCCTGGTAATGTAAGCTGGACAGGAGAGACAGCGAACTACTCTAGAGGGAATGGACACTTACAATGTCACAGTAACGTTAATGAGAACAGCTGATCACTGAACATGGGTCAGGCATGATACAAACAGTTTTTCCTTAACAACCACACAAGTAAAGCAGAATTATTCTCCATCTTGGGGTCACGAAAAGAGAGACTCAAGAGAAATCCAGTGACTTGCTGAAATGTAGCTCCAACTTGAAGCGCAGCCTCTCAGGCTCCGACACCTCCTACTTTCTGCTATCCAGCCCCTGCGCTGCTGGTAGAAGGCTCCAGTTTGTACAAGGTGTGAGACCCTCTGGGCCAGTGGTTCTCAGTCTTCCTAATGCTCTAGACCTTTAAGGACAAAGTTCGTATGCCCAAAGGAATATTACTTCTTAGTCACACTGTGTTTGGGGAGAAATCAAGCTTTGTCTCCTTGCGAAGCCTCAGCCCTGCTCCCTGATACTCAACCAGTTGGCCTGAGGAACATTGGCTCATGTGGAAACTGACCCCCCCCCCCGCCCCCGTAGGCCGCTTTCCAGTGCTGTTTGTGGACAGAAACCTCCAGGGTAGTGGTTCTCAACCTGTGTTTGAGGGTCTCCACAAGATGAGGAGCGTACTAAAGGGTGGCAGCATTTGGAAGTCTGAGACCCACTGTTCTAGGGTAAGACATTAAGAGTGGAGAGGAGGGGTCCTCTGGAAGCTCCTAGACTGGTGAAGACATGGAGGACACACAGAGTGAGTGCCCTAGGAAGAAGCGCTGTCTCTCCCAGCAGCGCAGTTGCTTCAGACCCTGCCAACACTACCAATTATCCCCACAGCCTGCACAGCCAGCAGCAAAAGCTTGGCGGGATGTGCCTGTGATAGAGCATCTTTAAAGGGATTTTCAGGCACGGACAACAGGGGATGTCCCTGTGAAACTCTTCATCTGTCCCTTAACACAGCTTCCGCCCTGGGGAAATGATCATCAATTCTCAAAAGGACCCCTACTTTGAAAACGCCGAATCAAAAATTAAAACGTTCCCGTTTCCTGCACTGTCCAGCACCTCTATTAACTTACAGAAAGAACGATTAGTTTCCCGACATTTTGAAGGGTAAACTGAGGCCATAAGGAGGTAAACACCCAAGACTGTATGTAGTGCCAAGGGAGGCAGAGCTAGGATTGGCCAAGACACTCAGGTGGGAAACCTTTTCCAGCCAATTCCATGAATGAAGATCAAAGGAAGCTCCTACCCCGGTGAGATTAATTAACAGGTTGCAAACATTTTCAAGCTCAATCACAAGCTCGTATTTAGAGAAACATGGCTTGCTTCCCTACCACACAGGTAGGGGTCACTAACAGGGTATTTTTTCTGCTCAAAAATCCACAAGCACAGCCCTTGCCTTCCCCTGCCTCAGCTGTCCCAGTCTGGGTTGGGGAGTGTATCCCCCTTCTCTGATCCCTGAACCCTGGCTATCTGTTCTAGCAGTGTGTCCCTACTTCCAGCCCTGGGGCTTGAATTCCTAGAGAAGGGACATGCAGGTTAAGGCTGGGAGAGCAGCCCTGCTCCTACTCAGCGGCCTCGGGGGAGGGGGGCGGGGCGGGGGCGCCGAGCCTCAGGTAACTCACTATCCCCGCTGGACACCCACCTGGGCAGCCGGCGGGGAGATTGCCCAAGTTAGCTCCATCTCGCCTGAGCCCTTTCCACTCTCCTCACTATCTCCCCAGCTTTTCATTTTGACACAAACCACCCGCAACCCCAGAAATCCCACAATCACGCTGCCGAAACTCGTTCTCAAGGGCGCGCTTGCAGGTATATTTTAAAATACGCCGAGCGCAGTTGTGAAAGCTGGGGTGGGTGGCCAAGCACCTTGGCATATTATTTAGCTTCTCTGGAGAGGGGCATCAAAGCTTGGCTTCAGGCACGGTCACAGCACGGGATGGGATTTCCTCGCACCCGCAGGCTCTCGCTGCTGGCTGGCACTTGCCCAAGCTGTCCACGCCTGCAGCCAACTGCTCTGCTCCCACACGCAGCCTCGAACCCGTGGCCGGGGAGAGCACCCGCCCGCGCCGCCCCTGGCCGCGCGCAGCCTTGTTTGCCCTGGGTACTCACTTTTGCTGGGGAGAAAAGTCTGCCATACCAGGTGGTGAGCACTTCCTGCAAAGGACGTGAGCTTTAGCACCGCAGGTGAAGCTGTCTCCTGAGCCCTGGGTAAAATCCCGATCGCAGGAGAGGAGCGAGTAAGACAGAAGAGGAAGGCGGGGAAAGCCCAGCCCAGAAGACCCGGCAGGCAGCGTCTGGGGGTTTTAGTCTCTGCTCCCAGTCGCCAGCCGCGTGTCTCTGAGAAGAAGCTCAACTCGGTGCACTTGTTCACTCTTCAGTAGAGGAGGAGTCAGTGTTGCAACATGCTTGTTCCTTGCTGGAGGCAAAACAGTGATTTTCTCCAGCACGCAAAAGGTCCAGAGCCTGCCAATTTTACAAGGTGACGGAGGTGGTAGGGGAGTCGGAATCCAGAGAAGAGGGGGACAAGAAAATTTCTGATTCCACCCCTCCCCGGATCCGTTTTACAGGATCAGTCTTCCATCAAGACTGCACGAATGAATAGACGAAACAATACTAAAAATGCCCTTTAAGTCGAGTGACCTCAAAGATGAGATTTCTCTCAGTAGCCGAGATGAGACTCGGTGTCAAATTTCTTTCCTTATTTCCCAGCAAGCAATGCTGAGCAGCAGCTTGACAATGCTTGAGGGGGCTCCAGGGATTTGAATCACACCTTCCCTGAGAAGGAGGAGTCAGAGAAAAGTGGCAAAGAGAGAATAAGCAGGGACCCAATGAAGCTTTGCTTTCTTTTTAACAGCAAAACTTCCAGGGCTCTGCATTATGCCCTGCCACGTCAAAATACTACAGAAACACCAACAACCTCAGGAACCCACAGGATTCTGCTGTTTTCCACAAGTACAGAATTTATCTCCTCAAAAAGACTGCATGATTTGAATGCTATTGTATTCTGTCTTTGGTATTAGCCAGATCACTGCTTTTGTCTTGTACCCCTCCCCAATATTCTGTTGCAAACAAAATATTCAAAACAAATACAGCTGCTTGAGTTCTCTCTGAAGAGGTAAGTAGGTAACGTTTGATGCCATTGATTAATATTGCGTCCTATTGTTATGTAACTCAGAGAACCACTGTGAGTTATTTTGAACAAGCCATTGAGTTTTCTTTCTTTTTAAATCATGGAAGCCATGTCCTTTCTTCCTTTGATTTGACTGACGCTTTGCAATAACTAGCAAATCATATTCATCAGTGGCCTTCTGCCAAGGCTTCAGGAAGCCACTGAAAATCCCAGATGTTCGGGCGATCCGATCCTGTTGCATTACAAGTGACACCTGCATGGGCTTAATGTTTGCTGCTCAATGACATGTCCTGGAGAAGGTAAACCACGATCTACCTCTGCTTTTCAGGATGAGTCCGGTGCGCACCTGCCATGCACAGGGCATGCAGGCTTCTGACGACTGAGGTGTACTTTTGCTCATAATTATTTTTGGGAGGGTAAAATACTTGCTCATTTTCAAAAGTCATGAGTACCATCTCCAAGAGCAAAACACAGACATGCTTTAGAGCCCAAGTTTTATCCCAATTAACCCACTGTTAAGTTGAAAACACTTCAAGGAAAAAAAAAATTGAATCAAGACACCTGTTGGACACCATAGCCTACCCTTACCTATCCAGCCTACTCAGAACATGTGTATTTGCCTGAATGTGGAGAAAGTTCTCCAACACAAGACTTATTCGATGCTTGCCTAGGTTCATCATCATCATCATCATCATCACATTACTGAAATATCAAAAACATCTGGAACCATCATGAGTTGGTGATTGTATTTCTGTACGACCTTTGAAAGGTTCTGTAAGACCTTTGAAAGGCCAGAAATTACTCAGTAACTGCAGTTTCCCTGGATGTTCTATTTTAACTGATAATGAAAAGAGAATCACCTTTGGTAACTCAAAACTGTTAGCTTTCCTTGTCGATGCCACAGGTCGGTGCTCCCGTGCTCTACAGCACAGGATCAATGAGCAATCCACATATTATCTGGAGAGAAGCTCACAGCTTTCTGCTTGCCACGCAACATATACACCATCCCCAAGCCACAGGCATTCACAGTCTCGGGCTTCCTTGCACACTCCGGTGTGTTACTGAGATGACGAAGGAAGTCATCGGTAAGCATGGCTTTCCTCTTGGTTTCACAGCTGCATTGTGACTCTCTCCCTCTCTACACATGGCGGACACCATTCACCCCTTTTCTTGAACTCTCTTTTTGCTTAGGTCTGCATCTGACTCACTGTATGGACTCCTCCTTTTTGTCTAGCCCATTCATCCAGCTGTGTCTTGGACTCCCTATCTCCTCCCTGCCTCCAAGACCTTGTTACACACTTCAAAGTACGGCAAAAACATGGGAACTGGCAATGATTTGGATATTACTATTCATTTGACTTCTGTGAGCTTCACTTACTGTAAGGCTCAGTAGGGGAATAATAATGCAATAGAGTATGAAAACTGCCAGCTATGCTAATAAAAAGTCTTACAATATTAAGGGTTTTGTTTGTTTGCTTGTTTTGTTTTGCCTTCTTGTTTCCTAACCATTTTCCTGGCATTTTTTTTTCTCTATCCATGAGTTTCACTTCAGAGACCTCCTACATCTTTCCTGGGCAGGCTGACACTTTGGATACATTTACAACCTAATTTACTCCCTTCTTCCTTTGTCAAACTTAGGAAAGCAGTCTACATTCACAGCTTTTTACTTAGTGATTCTCAGCCTCTGGGGAAGACAAGCAACGCGCAAGGAGTATCCAAATGTCAGTGCCTGAGTGCCCCAAGAAAAACTTCCAATCCAAGAGGTTCAGGGTGAGTTTTCTCCTCCTACAAAAAGCATCAACTACGGCTGTTCGGTTCACTCTTTTGTTCTTTGTCTTCTGCCATGGCTGCTCCCTGGTCAGGCTGTTCTTGCCTTTCCCCAGCTCTCTGCCACACCCCTCTTCTGTGAGCTGTCTTGTAGGGCCCCCAATTTTCTCTAGTTCCTCCTGTCTTTCTGCTATCTCACAGCACCCCTTCTTTCTCTGTTTCCTTAAGTGGGGGCACTTTGATCCCTAGCCCTTCATTCCTCCTCCTTTAAAGATTACTTTTCTTTCTTTAAAACAATAGGAAATGTTGAAAGATTACAATAGTTAGAAGGAAATCATACACAATCTTGGTACTCTTAACAAAACAAAATCTTACATCTATATTTGTGGAGTACAAAATAAAAACAAAAATCCTTCCAAGTCACACACCATTTCTTTTTCTTAGTCCCATCTCCAGAGAAAACCATCACTGGTGTCTTTTTTCAATTGTACACATATTTATCTATTAGCACTAGTATATATATTTAAGCTAAAAATGCATTATTTTCACGGTTTGTCTCTTTCGGTTCAACAATATAATTAAACAAAGTATTTTACAATCTCTCTGCCCTTTCTTCTGCAATCTTCCTTGAATCTTAGCTGTGGAAGTTGTTTTGTAGAAGTGTTCCTTTGAAATGGACTCCACAACTCTGCATTTTGATTGGTTGCGATTTATTGTAATTGTCTCTGTCTGTTGGCAAGAGAAGTTATCCTGACAAGGACAGTGGCAATAGCCTCATTGCTACACCAAACACTTCAGGGATCTTGTGAGATTTTGTTTTCAGAAGCTGCACCCCTAAATTTTCACCAGCTGACTTCCTAAGCATGAGCTGAACAAGAACAATAGATGTGCTAGTATAGACAAGGTTAGCAAGGGGAACCCACAAGGCCCCAGCCCTACACACAGAGAGCTACAGGAACTAAAGAATACCAAGAGAGGGAGAAGTAATCTTCCCCAGAGAAGAGCACACCAGTTAGTTATCCAATGGCGAGCAGTCAGTCCTGAAAACATATATAAACTATAAACGTAACATTATATAGACTGAGTAGGTTGTTTTTATGTATTTAGAAATACATGTGGAAAAGGAAATGTGTATATATATATATATATATATATATATATATATATATATATATACACATACACACAGAGTCAGAGAGGTGTATATGGGAGTGTTTGGAGGGAAGAAAGTGAAGAGGGGGAAATGAAGCAATTATATTATAATCTAAACAAACAAACAAAAAAACCCTTATGCTCCTGGGGGTTTGAATGAAGGGTGCATACACCCTAGGCAAGCATCGCCAGGTCTATAGCTTGTCTCTCAAAGCTCAACACCATTATTTAAATGACGTTGCTGCCTAGAGTTGTTTTTTTTTTTTTTTAACGTTAACTTGCAAGCCTCTAAGATTTCATTAGTTTTATTTTATGTATATGAGTGTTTTGCCTACATGTGTAAATGTACTCCATGTGTGTGCCTGGTACCCGAGGAGGCCGGGAGAGGGTGGATCCTCTGGAGTTACAGATGGTTGTTGGCTGCCCTGTGGGTTCCGCAGACAGAACCCAGGTCCTCTGCAAGAGCCACATGTGCTTTTAAAAGCTGAATCATCTCTCCAGCCCTCACTCCAGTTTTTAGTAGCTGTCTAGACTTTTAAATTTATGTCTTCCATTCCTCTCTTGTTATATTTTTGGTAAAAGTTTTTCATTCTCAAAAGCGCTGCTATGGTTATCCTTGTATATGCCAGACATTTAGACATGTCAGAGTTGGAAAAAGGAAATGGCTACTAAAATCAGAAAGGCTACCAAATTTCTCTCACATAATGATGTAGGCAAATGTTTTAAAGCTGAAATTACTGGGTTATAGAGTTAAGGCATTGAAACATATATTTGTTAATGCTTAATTTCAGGCATGTGCACAATGTATTTTGATCATACTTCCCATGCCTAACTCCTCCTGGATCTACCTCTCCCACCTCCCAACTTCCCAACTTGCCTTTCCTTCTTTCTTTTCTTCACCAATCATGTCCAGTTTGCTCTGTCCATGCCTGTGATATGTGTGGGGCATGATTCACCTAGCAGGGGGTACACCCTTAAAAGCTTTTGGGGCATTTAAAATTGTCAATATAACTTCAAATTCCACCAGCAACTGCTGATTTATTTATTCCTATCAAGCTTCTGTTCTCACATCTCTGCAAGCTTGAGACCTTATTGTCTAATCTCACCAGATCAAATCTGACGAGCAAGATAAGTCTGTTGTTGTAAGTCTCTGTGTCTTTATTTTTTCATGAGGTTCATGAGCATCTCATAACAGGAAGCCTTCTCACTATGGCTGTTAAATATTATACTTAGTTTTCTTATTGAGGTGTTTGTCTTTTTAAAGTCAATTT